TAATATGATTAATTGTTCGAGGAAAGTTCGATGGAGCACAAGAGTTTGGATAGGTTTGGCCGATTGAAGGTAAATCTACTTGGAAGAATTTTGAGAAATCTCGGTTGTTGCTTGATTGGCTAACCGTTAAGCAGCAGCAAAACGGGTGGCATGCCGAAGCACAGCCGCGCCTCGCTTTTAATAATAGATAAAAACCGTAGACATTCGTGCCGGAAAAAGAACAGAAACCGAGAATATCCCCACAGAGAAAAGAGAGGAAGGAAGAAAGACAGAGAGAGCTTTCAGTTTAGCTGATGCTAACGAAAAACGCGTCAAGTCAGATATTCCGATGCAGTTATTATCGGCCGTCACTGTCCGTGTCTCTCAATTTATTTGATCGCATTTTAATTAACTGGACGATATCATCCAGTCATGAAGAATAATAGAGAGACTGTTCATACACATGACTACAAGAATATCCAAATAAATATCTCTATTATCGATGCATTAACGAAGAAAGATGATTGAGCGTTTCTCTCTTTTTCTCCCCCTCTTTCTCCTTCTCTCTCTTTTTTTATACACAAGTGGATGATCGCATAGATCATCGAACGGAAATGTCTTGAAACATCCATACTTTCCAACGACTTTCATTGGAAATGTTATTAATTGTTCTCCAAATTACGTTTACGCAGCTTTTTCTTTAACTGCATATGGGTTCGTGGTTCGCGCGTCGCACGATCTCGTCCGAGTGCCAGATAATTAATAATACAGATAGGTACACAATGTATCACGTGTACACAATGATTTTCTCTTCTCCATTAACGAGAAGGATCATTATTGTTAGATCCACTTTCGAATCGAAACTGTAAAGACACCGAACGACGATGCAATGAGAGGGCGAGATATACTATATGCATTTAGGTATATTTATTCCTTGGAAATGACGTTGCCAATGACGATGCAGAGAAGCTTGTTGGGCTTAACAGTGCTGACGATCGTCGGCCTAATGACTTTCCTGCTCAGCAAGAAGCTCTCACTGGAGACGCGCAAGCGGGATGGCCTGCTCCTCGACATGATCGCTAACATTAGCGGCCACTTGGATCGACTTGACAGCGGCTTCGATGACATAGCCGCGCAAACGGGAATTGCGCGGAATCGCTTGCTACGACTGGTTGCGCTCCATCGAGAAAATCTCTTGATATGTGCGTTACTCGGCGAGAAATGGAGACAAAAGCAAACGCTCAGCATCGGAAAACCGATGACGATGATGGCGAAGAGGAGAAAACGGCGCCGACGATTCATCCTATCGCACTATCATCGATAATCGATATCCGAGAGATTTTTATCAGACGTGCAAAAAAATACAGGAAATGTAATTAGATCAACATGTACATACATACGAGTATGTATCGCCAAATTATCTGTGTTATTTAATCCGCTCAATGATTAGGAATGATTTTTCTTTCTATATTTGCTGTGCTACCGATACTTTAATTGTCAATTTTGCGAGTCTCCTTATACATTTTTATTTTTCTCGATATCGAGAAATATGTGTGCGTTTCGATGTTTTTTTTTTTTTTTTTTTTTTTTTTAAGATTTCAAAGCACGCGCTTGTGTAAACTATTAATATATAATACATTCTGTCTCCCATTTAATTGAATAGCCAAGTTGATAGAATAGCTCATTTATTGTCAACTTATGATCGATTAAAAATGATTAAAATAAATCCAATCATATCGTACTATAGGCTATAGTAGATAAGTATAAGAAGGACGAATTAGTAATTAATTCGTACTTGGTAAGACAATCATCCGTTCGCGTGAGCGAATCGAATTCTTATTGCGAAAATACCCGTATAACGTGAAATATGTCGTAACGTTAGATAATAGAGTCTATTTTTAGCGAATATATACGAGTACGACGAGTCGATCAATCAACTTATATGATAAACCAGATGTTCAAGGTGGGGGCCAATTAACAAATCCGCGATCGCACGTATGCATGAAGACTTATGAGACACGCAGTGACTGTTATTTCAGATTCCAAAGTATTAAGATAGATTCGAAATATACACGTATATAAAACATGAATGTGATCGAATAATATCATTCGTCACGGAAACAATATTGTTGTTACAAATTTAAACGATTACATGTACATATACATATAGAAAAGCGAGGATCGTCGAGGATGAAATTGTCAAGTTTGAATTTCGAATATTTAAGCGGACTCGCTTACTCTATGCGATAAATATTTATCTACATGTATAAGTTTTCATTGTATAGAACGAAGAATATTTCTATTCTTACTATTAGCGTTTAGCGTGCTATCATAGAATATTATCTGTCAAATGGAAAACACATACGTGTCAAGTATTCGCATTATATAGTAAATATAGTTGATTAGGCGATCTGTATAGAATATACAGATTGTTCCAGATTCGCGAACGAATATTTTCGCCAATTTCTCTGCCGAGAAAGTTTCTTTGTATTGTGTGAAAGGACGTTAATGCGCACGTATCATGCAGATCTTACCGAAAAGAAAATTTTATTGGGAAGAGATGAGGTTCATCTGAAAAACTTGTCGAAAAAGACTAAAGTTCTTAAAACACTTTTCACAAGTCTCGAGCGCTTTGTTGACGTACTTATAGTACATATCTAGTACCTACAAGTATATTTACAGCGGATCGGTACACTAGCGATTTAATACGCGCAAGTATAATCTGGTATACGTATTTATCAAACGCGTTATCAAACTTAATCGGATCAGCGTCACGATTCGACGTACTCGCTTCATCACTCGCTGTACATATTTTTACTTAACGTTTACTTACCACGCGTGCGTATAAACACGCACGTACGCGAGAGAGATGAATATTATTCTCTAGCTCGTAGAGATTGTGTAATTGTATTATGTAATTATTTTTGTAACTCTCTCGAAAAAAATATCAATAAATCGTTTATGTGTATCTTGTCCACTTTATACAATATATATATATATATATATATATCTGTTTCTCTTTGTCCCATATATAATCGTATAATTGTTGAGCGATTGTCAATTATTCGCGAAAGAAAAGAGTTTAGAAGCGAGCCTACAAGTTGAAAACCCACTAATACGATCTTTCTCTCTCTCTTTCTCTCTGTCACAATTACGTTACAAAATGATATAGTTTTCGACTAAGCTTTCTTTTTTATCGCGTTTGGATTCTGGACAACTGTATGAATAATACAGTAGGAGACTGACTCTTTTGATTTTTCAAGCTAGAAGCAATCATATATCTTTTTCACATAGAACAATTATTACTTACTATCAAGACCAGCAATTTCAAAATTTCATTAAAACTTATTAACTTATAAAAAATATTTATTCTGCAACTTATATAAAATATAGTTGTGGATATATGTATATATATATATATATTTTTTTTTAATTGTAGATGTGCTTATATAACACCATTATATACGTACGCTATCTTGCCGGCTAATGATATTGTCTCTTATTAGCATAGTGGTGATAATGCTGTTTTAAATCGTCTAAATATTGTAATATTGTTGGTATATATAGTTATGTGTCGTTGCGCGCCATATGAAATAGAGAGAGATATAGTTTGTGCTGCAACTTTGATAATTATTTTCTCGCCATCTTGCATAATTGCAACATTCTCAATCGACAGTTATTCGTATAGTCAGTTTGTTACGACTCTCAAAGTGATATCTTTTTTTTTATCACGAATGATCCCGGGTCTCGGCATTAACATCGTTAATCGTAAACTTCCAGTCATAAAGTCGCTCAAAGAGGCAAAGCGCGAGTTTCTCCCAACATAAAAGGTTCCCCCTCTTGTTTTCTCGATCATAACTTCGTAGTTGAACGATAGCTTCATAATTCATCGCGACTCGCGTCCAATCCAACGAGTCTCAACGAATATACGGAAGCACTCTTCAGTTTCTCTCTCGAACGACGTTCCACCGGTCACACGAGATGGCGGAAAGAAAAGGTAAGTATTCGAGATTGCGTTCAATTCAATTCAATCAATAATTACTAATGTAGTATTATGATCAGAGTACGTACTAATAGTACTGCTATTGTGTGTGTATGCGCGCGCGCGCGCGCGCGTGTGTGTATGTGTGTGGAGTCGGTCCAATGGTAAAATATAAAATGCGTCGCAACAAAATCTATATATTATACTAAAAATTCGATAGATAGTCAATTAATTACTGAATCTATCTGACGCTCAAACATTAATATTAACGGCAAGTCTACTGCAATGAATATCCCTTGTAGTTATATAGTAACATTATGAAATATAAATGTAGCATAATTTTAATGCTTGCGATAAATGACTTTCGGATCGTAGCGTGTTCCGGGCCGGGTTACAGGAGCCCGAAGGTGGCGATGCTCGAAGGACCGCGCGAGAAACTTTTATATGTCATTGGCATACACACGAACCCTGAAAAGGCCGATGTCCTCTGTACGGTGGATGTGGATCCCGATAGTCCAACATATTGTCAGGTATCATATCTTCATGTTAAAACGTAGCTGATTACATAGAATAATTATTAATAATTGTAAATGTTACAACATGAATTTAAACACGAGGTTTGGAAACGCAGATAATACACAAATTGAGAATGCTAACGGTCGGCGACGAGTTACATCACTCCGGCTGGAATATTTGTAGCAGCTGTCACGGATTGTCCGGTCGTAAACGCGATACGCTGGTGTTGCCATGTCTTATGTCGGACCGAGTGTATCTGGTTGATACGAGCAATGAGAAAATGCCCAGAATTAAAAAGGTTTTCGTACGAATATATAAGTGCGTCTGATATTCTCTCTTTTTATACGCGTTTATACGTATATGTGTGTACGTATGAACATATACATGATATACAGACGAAATATACAAAATTCGATACGAAAGACATTGTATAACTTGCCAAAGTAATTCTTATAATCATGAGGTTCTGGAACCGGAAGAGATGCACAAACACGGGATATCCACACCGCATACTTCCCATTGTCTGCCAAACGGAGATATAATCATCTCCACTATGGGAAATCTTAATGGTGACGGATTGGGTGAATTTTTCTGCATCGACGCAGAGACCCTACGAACGAGAGGCACATGGACCAAGAGCCAGGAAAAAGCAGCTTTCGGATATGATTTTTGGTACCAACCGTATCACGATACACTCATCGCTACAGAATGGGGTGCACCTAGAGTTTTTAAGAAGGGATACGTCCCGAAGGATATTCATGACCCCAGTAAATACATACTTATCCAAGAATTAATTTTATATAAAGATGCAGTCGTGCAGTCGAATCATCAAATGATTAATGATAATTTGCAGAGATCTATGGCAGAAGCTTGAACGTTTACTCGTGGAACGAACGGAAGCTAAAACAGACCATTAATTTGGGAGATGACGGAATTGCACCTCTTGAAATAAGATTCCTTCATGATCCGTTGGCAGCCGAAGGATTCGTCGGCTGCGCGGTAACGTCGAATATTTATCGATTTTATAAAGCGGAGGATAATTCGTGGAAGGTCGAAAAGGTGATCCAGGTACCACCGAAAAAAGTCGAGGGATGGATCATGCCTCTGATGTCAGGTTCGTATTACGAATCGTTTTTTTTTTTTTTTTTTTTCAAAATTTTAACGAGGTCTACGATATCTCAAATTATTGCCAGTAGAAACTTATCGATATACCTGAGAACAACCTGTTGTTCAACATCGCAGGCTTTTTTCTGTTTTCTTCCCCCCCCCCCCCTCCCACTCGCCAATAAATTTCCGTCATTCCTTCGCTTCTTAGGTATGATCACCGATATTCTGTTGAGTCTGGACGACAAGTATCTGTATCTGTCCAATTGGTTGCATGGCGACATTAGACAGTATGACATTTCCGATACGAGAAATCCAAAATTAACGGGTCAAGTCTTCTTAGGAGGCTCAATACTGAGCGATTCGCAGGTACGTGTGATACAGGACGAAGAAATGAGCGGTCAGCCCGACCCCGTCTACGTGAAGGGACGTAGATTGTATGGTGCGCCGCAAATGTTGCAACTAAGTTTGGACGGACGTCGTTTATACGTAACTACGTCGATCTTTAAACCATGGGACAAACAGTTTTATCCCGAGCTCCTCAAGTAAGTACATTTTTCTTCCTTTTCTTTCTGTAAAAGACAGAACAACGTTTATAATCTGTATTCTTGTATACGCTGTAATAATATTGGGCGCGTTATTTAGATATGGATCAACGATGGTAAAACTTGATATCGATGTAGAAAAGGGCGGAATGAAGCTCGATCGTCAATTTCTCGTTGATTTCGGCGCTGATAAAAGCGATATTTTACTGGCACACGAGATGAGGTAAGAGACATCCCGTAATTTATGTTATGCCTCTATAAAATCAAGTCTCATTTATAATTCTTTCAATTTTCTAAAGAAATGAAAATGAATATTGAAAGAAATTCTATATAATCTCTGTCGAAATTTATATCTTATGTGTCGAAAGATAAGAACTCGTAATCTTTAACTTTTTTTTTTTACTTTTTATCTCGATTCTAATTTCGACGAGATTGAACATGTTTGGTTACGTAAATCAAATTGCTGTCAATTTCTTTTAATTTCAATTAATTTCTCCCTTAAATAGAAATGTCATTCCTTATCGTTAACCTTTTGTAACAATTTTAACATATTAATCTTTACGTAGATATCCTGGTGGAGATTGCACCTCCGATATATGGCTGGCAGAGAAACCTTAACTTTAATGATTGGACTGGATGTAGAGTCGAAGGCATTCCAACATCTGTGAAAGTAATAATAATGCAGTAGCTTATATTATAGTGTCATAGTTCCGCACGATTTTTCTCCGAAAATGAAATCTCGCGGATCTTTAGCATGTAGAAAATTATTCAGAAATGTTCTTTCGATAAGAGGATAAGAAATGTAGGTGACAGAGGTAAATTAAGAGTACTCACAGTATATTTTCGTTTGTTTCCATGGTATGGTGCTTATTAATTCCAGCATATTGCATCAAGTAATATAGGAGAGATTTTACATTGTATGAAATTAATGGTGTTACATGGTAGGTAATGAGTTCTTTTCTTCCGAGTTTACACAAATAAAATCCGTCTATGCCAAAATTGTAATTTGTTCGTTGTGTAAAATTTGTCGAAATGTTCTACATTAGAAATAATTCAAAAGTGTATAGCCACGTATAAAATTTCATTGCTCTTCCACATAAAAATATAGGATCGCGTTGGCCGATTTTATTTTTGCTTCCGTAACAAAATTTCAGTATCATCTACAATACCTAATGACTAACATAAAATTAAATTTGCACAATTATCTTATAGAATTCCAAAATTCGTGATAAATGTTTGAGAAGAAACGAGTTTCCGTCATTTTACTTCTGCAATATGTGAGAAAATACTTATTACGCGACAATATTACTTAAATATTAAAAAATGATTGGGCGAAATATGCGACGCCAGAAAATAGCGAGGACATATCGAATGTCAATGTTGGTTACGAAGCTGATGAATTTCTTCTTTCGCCCGAATTGTCCGATGTTAACGCCATGTTAGAAAACTCAAACCGAGAACTCAAAAATCGATGCGGCAAACTTTAAAAGCTACACGTGTACTCACTACAGAAATAATTTTGTTAATTTTGTCCCATTAATCGGCAATAAGTTGCGGAGATTAAACGCATGAAATCATTAATTTTTTTTTAATACGTACGTACGCACGCACGCGCGTCTAAATGTGTGTGTGTGTGTGTGTGTGTGTTTGTTTAATTGCATATAACCCAATAATATCAGACTTGTTTTAATCTGTTAAACTGAGTCTTCTTTTTTTTTTTTCTTTTCATCTCGGTTAAAACATAATGTTGAAATAAGGTATGTGTCGTCTACATAATCTCGGATTCTAAATTAATCCTCAAGTGTGCTCGCGCGTATACACCGTACGTATATCTAGAGTTACATCGGTGCAAATATCGATTCAGATATCGATTAAAACGTGTCAGGTATGTATTCTCTTCCTGACACGAAGGCATTACACGACGGCAAGTCGTATTAGCCATCATACGGTAAATGTTGACAGCGCGACTGTTTTCCCGCAATTACCGTTATCGAAACTTTCATCATCTGCGTTATCTTCATCATCGTCATCGTCATCATCGGACTTGCCATCAATATCGTCAGCCGAACTTCTCGCCACTACACCGTTAGCGTAAGAATATATTGCCGATTCTACATTTCTCCCAAAAATTCGTGGCTCTTCCAAAAAAATACTACTACTTATCCGCATTCGGTCGAGGTTGTACATGCTCACGATTCTTGTTTCCTCTAAAAGAAAAGAAAAGAAGGAGGAGGAGGAGGAGGAGGAGGAGGAGGAGGAGGAGGAGGAGGGGGGGAGGGGGGAGGAAGGGAAGAGACATTCCATCTTATCGCCAAGTATCAGTTACAGATCGCAGCCTCGTTTTTGAGATAACTATAGAATCGGCATTCGGCACAGTGGATTTTCAATTGTCGCGTCGGAAAGATCGATCCACGATCGAGCTATGAAACCGACATGTTTTCCGGTTATTGCCGGATACTTCACCAGCTGGTTTCGAGCGGAGTGTTTTGCCTCCTACGGCGACGTAGGGCGACGTAGGTACGACGGTACGAATTTGAGTACCGTGTGAGACGAGTGTCGAGCCATCGGGGCGCGCAAACGCCAGCCATCGTTCGTTCAGACCCACGGTGTCCAGCCCTCGTACAACAAGGCCAGATTATCGTTGCTCTGTGCTTCACGTATCACGTATTCCACCTGTTCGGCCGTGGTATACTTGCGTGACGGTTGCGGATCGCGGCCTTCCAATTTCATACGCACGCGACGCCACACGTTCAGCGCGTAGGCGTTCCGCTCTTGCACGGCTACATAATAAGAAGAGAAATAAATATATATGAGCAAAGTATAGCAGTCCATAGAAAGAACACAGGACAACATTAGAACAACATTAGAACCTACCCTTGCCCGTGGTCGGATCTCTGGCCAACACCGCCCCCTTCCTCGGACTTGGGCGTACACTGTTTTGTCGCACCAACTTGCCCTTCTTCCTCTTCTTTCTCTTCCTCGGCAGATTGCCTGCTGCAGGCTTCTCCGCGCTTTTCGTCAAATTCAACTTACGCTCACTCGCAAACTCCAGCAATCGATTGTACAGACTGGGCACTTTGATCGCCATCGACTCCAATTCTTCCTTCATCGCCATGCCGCGAGCAGAGTCGAAATTCTCGGCTTCCAGTTCCTTCACCGCCGCCGAAATATTCTCCGTGAAAGATCGATAGGCAAGCAGATAATCCTGCAGACCGTCGATATTCTCCTGCTTGGCCATTGTCTTTAGCAACGCTCTAACGTCCGACATTAATCGGTGATGCTCGGCGAGTACGTTCTGCAGATTCATCACTCGCTCCCTCAAATAGTCTTCGACCGTGAAGAGAGCCTCTTGTTTCTCCTGCAGTTTCTTCTGAGTGTCGATTATCGCCTCGGATACCATTTTCTCAGCCTGCTTCAACCACGTGGCATCCACGTTGTTCTCCAATTGCAGCAGCTGTACGAGGCTCTCCTCTGTCATGGTAACGGTAATGTTCAGGTTGACCGTCAATAGACAACTCTCCTCCCAGTGTTTGATCAATTTGACTAAGTTGGTATCGTGCGTCACACTCTCCGACGTCCTGGTTCTCAGAGCCTCGTAGTGCAGTATGGAATTGCACGTGTTGACTACCATCGCGGCTAAATTGTGCTGCCTAGTCAATTTATCGCACGACGATAATACCGCGTTGTCGAACGCGGACATGACTTCGCCCAGTGCTGGATTGGCGCCGGCAGCCCATTTGAGACGTTGTACAGCACTCGAAATGAGATTCTGTTGTTGCTCGCGTGCTTCGCACACTCGCGACTGCAAGTTTGACAATTTCGCCGCCTTTTTTCGTAACTCGAGCATGAAGGTAGAGCGATCTAAAAGAAACAAGGAAATTATTTCGGACTTGTTAGTTAAAACTTAAAACAGACGACAGTTTAATTTTAATTCGTTAAACCTCTCTCGCGGGAGGTTTCGTACCGTAGCAGTATAATAATCCGTAAAATAAGCGACATATCGATCGATTAAAGAACTCACTCAAACGATTCATAGGATGCATCGGATTCATTGGATTCATTGGATTAATATTGGGTCTCATCATTAGGACATCTTCGTACAACCAATGATAAGCTGTCTGCTGAAGTTGAAGTCTCTGAAGACTGATCCTGGCTACCTTGGCGCTCTGTTGCGCCAATCTAGCAACCTGTTTCCGTCGCCAAGTGCTTTCCAAAGTGCTATTCAACGCACTCCCTTGCGTAAAGACCGAGCCTGAGAACAATCCCCTCTTCAAGCACAGATCTACCATCTTCCGACACAGCTCCTCCAGCGAGACCTTGCTTTCTGCTCCAATATCTCTCTGTTCGATCTCGGTAGTTACATTCAGGCCCATTCGCTGCAGCAGGAAACACAGAGCGATCGCCAATGTCTGCGTCGTCACCCCGAGCAATTGCCTCGAAACGTAATCGGCAGTGAATAATCGGACGGGCTTGTTAAGACGTTCATCATCGTATACGTTTGCCAATCCGCCCTTGAATGCGGCAGCAATGTCCCTGCACATCATAAAGAACTCTTGTATAGTGTGCAATCTCTTGATTAGAAATATGTCTTCGAGGACTTGTCGGATCGCCTTGTTGAAAATGGGCACCGACATCTCCTTGGCCTCGCGTATCTGATCGATCTTCTTCCAATTCATCGGAATGTCCAAGGTGCTCAGGATAGCCACTAAGGCGTTACCTTCCATTTGCACTTTTTCAAATAAACCGTTGAAACCCATTAGTAACATTTGACCTGGCGTTAGACTTTCCTCTTGATTCAAATCCTGAACTTCCGCCTGTCGCGACAGTAACGCCTCGAATCGCAATCTTATGTTATTCACTATATTTTGTACTACCGCGTGGGGGCTCTCCATCTCCATCACGGTGAACCGGAGATGCATCTCAAGCTGCGCCAGAATATCACCGAGCGGTATTCCGGTCAGTATTATAATCTCGTCGAGTTCGCTTATCATTCGCATGACACTCGGCTCCTCCGTGATGACAGTCTTCATCGCTTCCGGCAATATGATAGTTTGGAAGTTGTAATTGAGATCCTGTAGACCCTTGTAAATACAATCGGCGCTTCTCAGGCACTTGAATATCAGCGCAATCTTGGGATCGGTGTTGTTCACCTTGTGACTCTCTGGTATCAGCGTGATAAACTCGACAATCAACGACGACACCAGACGCATGTCGTCCAGGAACCAGTCCCCCTCGCGGGATGTAAGATCCACTAAGCAATCTCCAGCGCACTTGGCAGCGCCCTCCATCATCAAATATCGCATGTTCAAGGAACAGAGCGCGGTGATATTGACACATTCGAACGCTTTCTCCGCACCCTTTTCCCGCCGCAAAAATCCGGTAATTTGTGCTCTTGACTCAGCATACGCCTTTTCAATTCTATTGCCGGCTTCCGGCAAGCCTTGGGATACTGTCCTCTCATAAGCTTTCTTGTATCTCTCGCTAGACTCATTCAAGATCGCTTCCATCTGATACGAAAAGGCTATTATCTGCTGAACCTGCGGATTGCTCGGATTGATTGGATTTAGACTCGCTTCGAAACGCGCCATGATTTCGTGACACGCCTCGACGGTACCCGTGGCTAACAGCTCGCTCGCCCAAGTATGATAGAGCACGACACGGTGTTGCGACAGAATGCTTAGAGGGTACAGGTTGCAGATGGCGGAATATTGGCTCAACAGCTCTAAACATTTGCTTATGGAGAAGGCCTGGTCGGTAGCCAGTTGCATCAGCTCGTTTTCCGACTGTTCGCATTGCACTATCATCTGACTTTGTCCGGCGTTTTGCAGAAATTCCTTCACAAGGTCGAACACTACGTGATCTTGTTGATTGGTCAAGTTTCCCAATTCCGCCAGCCACTGTCCTAGTTGGGATCCTCGTACTGCGGCTAGCGCGATCTAAAAAGGGGAAAAAAAAAAAAGAACGAACCATCAAATAAAATATCGAAGAAACATTATATAATCGAGATTAATCTGATTTGCGGGAACGCTTTGGTTTTGTAGAATCGAGATTGCGATTGTGCTCAAGAGCGCTAACTCACATTATGCATATTTATCTGTTTCTCGCACTCCTCTGTCTTCTCCTTCAAGCCTGTCTTGGCCTTCTCGTGAGAATCCCGTGCTCGTTTGAACGAATTGTATCGCTTAACTAGCGAATATAACGCGTGATTCCGACCGATCGCCTGCGCCTCTTTCACTAGCGCGAGCTGCTGATGTCGGTCCTGCAGTAAATCCTGGCACTGACGCGACGCTTCGGTCGCCTCGATCCAGCTGTTCAAGTGATGGCACAGCAGCGGCAAGTTTTTAGCCAATTCATCTCTGATTTCATCCCATGAAAGTATTACAAGTTATTCCTCGTACAAACGGAGGATAAATGCAAATAACGATACAAAAGAGGTACAAGTTGAAGTACGTAAAGAAGCTAGGTTGAGTCTTTTCCATCCCCCTATCGAAGCTTTTTATCATAGCTTCGGTAGTGGATGTTGAAAGGAAAGAGGAGAAATATGTATTCGTGAGAAGAGAAATGTATGTTTTTTTTTTTTTTTTTAATGCATTTTAAACAGTAGGAAAGTAAGATAGGAATATTGTTCTCTCACCGATTAGCTAGCCACTCGGCGCGCATCTCCGCCGTTCTCACTGCAAACATTGCACGCGTGAGCTCCTGTTCCAACTGTTTTCTTCCAACGCCGGTGCATCTCGCTCTAGCCTGGCAAGCACCGTAACTCGCTATGCTGGTGTCCGCGCCCGCCCGCCAATCTACCAAAGGATCGTAGACGAACGCCTCCAGCAAGGTCAACAGCGTCTCGCGGCCTCTACGCATCACTCTCAGAGTATGCTCGGAAGCGAACCTAAATATACCCTAGACATAAATAGCGATTTCTACCATTATATATATATAT